TAGAAATCTATTTGAATTATATTATGAAATATTTGTAATTGACTATTTTTTCAAGATTTCTTTTTTAGTCATTTTACATGCTTATAAACTCTATTTTTTTGCAAATACAATTTGTTCACCAGTTATCTTATCAAATATAATTATATTTTTACCAAATATAATTTGTTCATCAAGCTAGCAGTTATCTTATTAGCTACCACTTATTTTATCAAACATATCAGCTAACTTATCAGTTGGTTTGCTAAACATAGTCTAAATAGTTGTTGGAGCATATTGAAACCAAAATCAAGTTGGTATTCAAAAGGTAGAAATTTTGATTCTTCTACAAGTGAAAAAACCGATAATAAGCTTGTTTTAAATTCTTGCAAATTGTTTCGACTTACTTTTTTCAGTTTATTACACGTAATTTTGAAATATGTGCAATTTTAAATGCACAAATTGTTTCGACTTACTCTTTTAACGATGAGTTTGTTGTGGTGTATTCTGGTACCTTAAATAACCATACATATACACTATTACAACATAGGAAATTAAATGAAGTACATTGTTGCTTATGTAATTAACAGTCTTAATAGAAAGTTCCATGTAAATATCACTTAATATCTCTTATGTAATTGTAGGTTTTTATTTTAATATATTTCGTTTAAACACAATTATTTAGTGAAATTGTAAAATGATGTACTAAAATTTCAACTTAACCAACCAAACTTAATCCTTCCAGTTTAGATTAGATTCAGTTATACGTTTGGGTTGAGTAATTGAGTTGAGATTTTTCAAACCACAAACACTAGATTGGATTGTTCAAATTTCTTCAACCCTAGTTATATGCTTAATCGATCAAGATCATTCGCTGTCTCATTTCACAAGTTTCTATTGAAACATACAAGTCTAAAGTGTTTTGGGCATTGTAGAATTTTGAAGTTACTAGAAATTAATTCAAGGCAATAGTTTTCGTGACTTAATTACTCTATTTTCGTCACAAACAGACATTGTGAAACAAAAACGTTGGAAATAAATATATGTTAATTAATGCATTGACTCCAAGCCGGAGATGAAAAAATAATCATGTGAAATAGCATATGATACATCGTTTTATCATAATTTTATGTGTTCTTAAATGGAAACTCACACACACACACACACACACACACACACATATATATATATATATATATAATTAAATAAAATAAAAATTATCAAAATTACTTAATTACATTACTGCTCTTATTAATTTATTTATATTTAATATAAGTTAATTTATTAATTAAACAAGTTTAAGGTTATTAGGTTGTTTTCGCGTTCTCATAAATCATATGGGTTCTCGTTTGAACCTCCACCTATATATATATATATATATATATATATATATATATATATATAGGGTTAGATTCCAGTAAAAGTGAACGTTACGGTGAGACAGATAAAAAAGAATTTTCGCTTTTCGATTAATTTTAATTGAAAATCAACACTAGGTGTATTCAAATGTACCAGATCTATTCCCCTTATAAACGTAATTCATGAGGTGGATGTGAGATTAAAAGCGATCAAAAGTCTAGATCTATTCCTGCTTTCTCATTTAACTCTTATTCTCACATCATCATTCGTATGTGGGTGTGTATATATATATATATATATATATAGAAGGGGGAGAATAAAAATGTGGAGGAAGAAAGTGATGAAAGGGTATATGATTCTAGTACTTTTTTTTTTTGTACCCATCCTCCCACTTGCTACTTTTTCTTTTACTTTTATATAATATTAATTGTTGCTATTTTTAATATTAAGTATTTAATGTTTAGCTAATGTGAATCCTAATTAATTGCTACTTTAGAGGCAATAAACAAAAGACGACTTTGTAGCATGTGACATTTATGAGATACTTATCATCCAAATTAAAATAAATATCATTATATAAATTAACTTGTATTTCACATAAATAAATATCATTATCTTTAAGAGGAGAAATTATGGTCAGAAGCGTAAGAAGACGTCTTCATTCTTGGATCAATCCTAATTGAACGTCAATACCAATGAGATACATCGGGATGTAACAAATCAATTCCCTTTTAAAGTAGAAATTCATGGGTGAGCATGAGATTAAACGTGAAGTGATCAACGGTTCAAATTCATTCTTACGCTTTTCATCATAACTTTCATTCTCACACGATACTTCACCGTATCAATAAATATGTAGAGAGAGAGAGAGAGATAACGAATGCACTTAACGGAATAACTTAATTTGGTTGTTTCTAGTTTCATGGCATCGAGCCAAATCTCATTGGCAGTATAAACATAAAGAAGTAGGAACATCATGGTTGATCCATCCAAGGGTGCTTCAAGTTTATTACATAAACCAATTGTTCTATTCAAATTTATGAACATATTATTGAATTATATATCTAAATACACCCAAATTAGCTTATACTATATAACTCCCAACATCTATGAACCAATCATCTTCGAGATCGATAAAAGTTACGATCAAAAGTTGCCAGTGCACGAGGTTATCGATCACAACATGTTATACATCAGAAAGTTAGATCCTTAACCCCTAGTAACTTCAGCTTCAAGTCTTCTTTGCCTGTTAATCCTGGCAATAAAATCGTCAGCCAACTTGTTCAACTCTTCTGCACCCAAATTTACCTCTAAATCCTCATGTTCTACTTCCTCTACATTCTCTTCGCCTTCCGTTTCCAATCTTTTCTCGTCATCATTGATACTGAAACTTTTCGCTTTTGCCGTCCCTTTCTTTGGCAAAACTTGAGGGTTTTGGGTCTTGCATTTGTACTTGTCATAACAAACATCACTGTAGCTAGCATGTGAATTGGCCGGGGTAGACTTGGAGGCGAAAAACTTGGATTCTCCCACGAGAAAGACGACAATGAGGTTGCCCACAACGAACAAAACCTTGCTAGTGAAGAAGAAGGAACATATCTTTGGGAGGAAGAGAAAGAAAACGACGTTGAAAGTGGCGCAAAACGGAGGATACCATAAGGGACTAGAACACAACAAGGTACAAGCTAATGTTGAGATGGTGTATAGTAGAATGGTACCCATGAACTGTTGCCTCTTGTGCTTCTTGATGGCATGAATCTTGTAGGCCTGTATTCTGAGTGGATCCATGTATAAGTTGATGAACTTTTCGGTTTACAAATCGATCGAAAAATGGTTGGTTTTGTGAGAAGAGTTTTGAGTTTGAGATGGATTTGTGTTTGATATGGTTGAAGATAGGGCAATGAGAGTTGGTGCTGCCATTTATAGTGAAGAAAAAGGAGCTTATCTTGGAGTTTTTCTGTCACATGGAGCTTTCAATTCCTGTGGTTTCTTTTAAATTTAAACTCTCTTGTTGCTTTTATAAAAGTTGTGTGATGGAGAAATTGATTATTTTGTTTCTAATTATTGCGATGCTTTTTCTTTTGTTTAGGAGTTGTTTGGCAATTGTTGAATGATTTGGTGCAGAATGATTAAGAGGTTGTTATGATATAATGAAAAATAAAATATAATTGTTTAATTAGTAATTGTGTATAATGAATTCAGGGCTCTTAATTGTCAAGGAAGATCCATGATACAAAATCATTCATAGAGTTTTAGAATCATTAAGAGGCATACCTTTTTTTTGCCAAACAAAATTAACTTTAATAACGATTCAGATGTTGCCTTTTAAGTTGAATGGGTTTGATATTTTTCTTACGAAAGTCGATTCATTTGAGGAAATTCTAAATGAATAAATATTTGTAGGCCTAAAATTCATCATCACTAAGACATATCATTATTTTATTTAATTTATATCTATATTTAATTGATATATTTAATAGATAATGTTGAGATAACAGGTTTTATCTCGTTTCAAATTAGCTAGGGTTGATAAATAGTTTAGAGACTTAATGTGATTAATTAATTGGATTTAAGCAAATTAATTATATTTAAAAGAATACATGTTAAAAGACATGATAAAAATATATTTAAGAGGAAATTGCATTAAAAAGTTTCGTACTTTAACTTGATTTCTATTTTAGGGAACGTACTTTCAAAACTTTTATTTTGATACTTAAGATGTAAAATTTTAAACATTTATAAGTACTCGGTTGAAGCATTAACCGATTATCATGCTGATGTGACGAGTGATGAGATGAAATTAGGTTGAATGACAAATAATACTGAGTTGGGTACCACATCACTCGTCATATTAACATGGTAACCAGTTAATGCTTCAACGGTACCAAATAAAAGTTTTAAAAATACGTTACCAAAAATAAAATACGTTACATTTTCATACAGTTTGTCCTATGGTTAAAAACACATACTTCCATTCAATTTACATTTTAAATTATATATTTAAGTATCTATACTTTAAAATTATTTATATAAAAGTTTTTTGTAAGAAAAATATATATTTTAAGATATTTATACTTTGAAAAAAGTCATGATAAAATGTGGACCCTTAAATATACATATACATTTGAAAATAATATTTTACAAATTAAGATTTAAAATCATTTTATTTTATTTTTTTACAAATTAAGATAAAATTATTTCATTTAATATATTATAAAATATAGGGGATGAAATTGCTTCAGTGAGAAGTAGGGTGGGTGGCAAACATACATACTCTAAAGTTAAATCTTTATCTCTTGATGAGTAAATCTAACATAATTTTGAGGGTAATATTGTAAATAGCCATTGTCCCCAAAAATCTTTAACAAGATATATGTAATCTTTATTATAAGGTTAAATTAATTGACGTGTTAAAGGAAGGCCTTCCGATGGACTTTTAAAAGAATGTGGTTTAAAGTAATTAAGAGGGGATTACAAAAGCCCGATCTTACTGTGCATCTAAAAGAGTAAATTACATTCCTGGTCCCTATGGTATGCGCTTTGTTTGATTATGGTCCCTTAAAGACATTTATTACACTTTTGGTACTTGTGGTATGGAAAAACGCACATTCTAAATCCTTCACACTAACAGATTTTGTTAACCCTCTTTTTGTCCTTTTCCTTGATAAAAATTGTAAAAGTAAATATAAAAGAATGAAATGACTTTAGGATACCAACCCTAACGTGAACGCACTGTCGAGTTTATGATTCCCACTCCGTTGACTTTTTTTTAGTAACCCAGTATTGTCGACTGTGGAGAAGAAGCTGTGAAGTGTAAAGGGGTTTTCATTATTGTGAATACTCACCAATAAGATCCTTTAACTCTTTCCTGCCGATAATGCAACACCCTCTGTCATACTCCCCCATCGTCGGACTCGCTCACTTCCCCCACCCTCGTACACAAATACACACAGAGGTTACATCCACATGGTTTTGTGAGTTAGTGTTGGATAAGTGAAGCTTCATTGGAGTTCTGATCACCAGCCAACCACTACCTTTCCCCCTGCCATTTTTTTTGTTTTCAAGGACAAGGTTGATAACGTGAGTGTATTTGTGTTGTGTGTGTGTGTGGGGGGGGGGGGAGTTTTTACAAGTGGGACAAATTAAATAGAGAAAATTACATTTTTGGTTCATGGAGAGGGGTCTGACACTAGCATGTGCCTTGGTGGCGGAGAGGGTGAGTTTTAATTGCATGGGCACCGAGAACAAGGGGTGGGTTTTATTATGTATGAGAGTAGTTGATGGATATATATACACCAAACGACAGTGGATATGGAAGGTCACCAAACATGAAAACACCATCCCACAACTTCTCAACCTTCGTGCAGATAGTCTGGGTGGCGTTTCTACGTCATCTCTGTTTATATGTGTGTGACAGAGAGTGTTTGTGAATATAATATTATAATAATATAACAAAATAAAACAAGAAAAAGCTAAAAAAATTATCTGTTAATTGGGTTAACAAATTTCGTTAAAAAAAGAGACTCAAAAGCGTGCATTTTTGCATACCACATGGACAAACACTATAATAAATGCACTTTAGGGACTGTAATAAAAAAATCAACAAACCATAGGGACAAAAGATGTAATTTAGTCTAAAATAAAATAACAAGATTTGGTAAATCCCACGTATATGTACCTTGTACTTTTCACCAAAATATTAAAAAAAAAAAATGGGTTAAAGTTGTCGGTTCACTTATATATTACTTGCATAATTAATTCGATAGCTCAAAGTAACAATATGGGACGTTTCAATTTTTTGGAGCCCTATCACATACAAAATTTTTGATTACATTATATAAATGAGATGACATAGAATATACATGTTAAGAATAAAAATGGGCTAAACCTAAAACGATTAACAATATGAGTTACATGACGTTTTAGGTGAAACTTAGAAGGTTGAAAACCTTCTTGAATTTAGCTCTAAAATTTGGTAATTTTGTCTCCTAAGTGTGAATCAGAAGAATGTGGACTCAAAGCTTCTATAAGTCCTCAGAATTCGTTCCTTTTGAACATGGTTCTTCAAAGCTTGGTGCTTCTGAGTTGGTTGTAACTGACATTCAATCTTAGTTGTAAGTGATGTAAATTTTGTGCAATCACATGTTAACGATCTAACCGTTTGTAATCGTAGATCTCTCTCATAAATACATAAACGTGTATGTTTTTGGATTATTCTAATACTAGTTTCGTGTAAGCTAAGGCATTCATAAGGTTGACATATAGTATTTAGAAAATGAAAATCATACACAATCCAGAAAATTATCCAAGTGATTACAACCCCAAAACCCAGATTCCCAACAATTGGTGCGACCAGAAAATGACAAATACCCTTGTTTACATACATACATATATACACTACAACAAAATGAGTCGGTTGCGGTGTCCAACTGTCTTAATAGAGTAGTTAATGAGAATTTTAAGGTTATATGACCAACAACTATGGGCCTTACACAAAGACATTATTTAAGTTGGATAATTTAACAAGTTTTATCCTCATACAGATGTGACTTGTTAAGCCACTTAATTAACGTCGTCTTAACAATTTATTATCTCTAAGTTCTTAATCACTTCACCCGGTGTACTTCTTGGTAAATAAGATCTATGTACGTAATAATTCTTTAATATAAATTATTAAATATTTTAAGAAATAATTGTACATAAATGTGCTTATAGAAAATGATAATTAGATTTACACGAGATACGTACATACATCTAAGGTACGTACGTATTCCAGTCACATGCATACATACATACGAACGCATATAATATAAAAATAATAAAAATAAAATTAAAGCAAATTTATAGACTTAAAGGGATTATCTTTTATTATTATTATTTTTAAGAGAAATATTTAAAATAAATAAAGAAAGTAAAAGATGGGTATATTGGACTATTTGCATTTGGGGAATAAAGTTGAGGGTATTTGATTCCATAGCCGTACCCATCCCGTGCATCTTAACTCTAGTTTCCACCTTCCTTCCTATGTAGATAGTCAAACAGAGTTGGGTTCACGTGAGACCTAAAGTTTTTCGTGAGACCCATAAGACCAATTTATGTTCATTGATTAATTTTATAAGCTAATGATCTAATTATCTAAAGTTGCACGTTAGCAATTTTATGATTATTGAGAAGTCTCGTGGCGTTTATTAATGTTCAGATTGTCATATTGTAGATCTAATCCAGGAGTTGAGAATTGGTCTTACGGTTCTCACGAGAAATCCTTGGTCTCACATGATCCCAAGTATACTCAAACAATCAATAACAATATTATAATAGAATCCGGTTTATAGGACATCATAAAGGTCTTTGGGGGGGGGGGGGCTTTACCAAACTCTTACCCGGATAAGATTTTAATCCATCAAAACGATATCGTATACAACAATTTACCCGGTAAGCGCTAACGTGGTAAGAGCTGTTACCCTCACTTACCAGGTAAGACTCTCAGTCCTTGCATTCGTTCTTACCAAGTAAGATTCTTTATCTTTGCTATATTCATTCGGTAAAGTAATATGGCTTGGTCCTCTTTATTTTCATCCACTTATACGGATAATGTGACTTGGTAAACGCTTATACGGATAATCTTTTGGTAAACGACCTCTAAGTGTCTTAATAGACTGCTCTATAATACTTATATTTATAGGATCAAACAATTATACGTTGTAACACATGTGAATTTATCAAATATAACTTTATAATACAATAGGATAGAAATATGATGAGGTACATATGTTTATGTAAGTAGCATTAGCGTATGTGGAGAATGTAAAGTGAGTACTGTAAAAACTAATTGAAGTACTTAAAAAAAAAAATAGTGGGGCAATTTTGAATGATTTTATATTTCATTTA